ATGCGAATTTGAGTGTCACGCACATGGTAAGATGATAAATAATTTCACTTAAGCTTTTATTATAATAAATGACTACCGTTTCAGAGTGTTTTGAGACATTTGAAGAAAATTGTGAACAAACATTAAAATTATGTGAAAGTCAGTGTCTACCAAATAAAATCCCAGTTTGTGCAATTTGCAACGGTGTTCCCGAAACATATGACAATAGATGCCTAGTAGAAGAATGTAGACAGAATAGTAAGTTAATTGTTCGATGATTATTTTATTAAATAAATTAAAACTTGTTACTTGCAGCATGTAATCCACCAACAGATGGTGTTTGTACAGAATCCGTTATAGCAGCAAGCTTGCCTCCATTTACATGTACTGATATCTGCTCAAATGATTATGAGCCTATCTGCTCAATGTGTTCAAATGGTAGAATTGAGATACAGCAAAGTCAATGTCATTTAACTTGCATGAATTCAGGTAAAACTATTGAATAGGATAAAGGAAATAGGTATTTAATTAAAGGCCAACTATATTTGATAATTTCAGATTGTGTTCCGATACCAAAAGATAATTGTCCTGAATTGTTAAACGGATGTGTGAGGAATTGTACCGAAAGCCATGTGATTCAATATGATCCAATATGCGCATCTTGTAATGGAAAACTTGAACTAATTGAGAACCCTTGTATCCTTAACTGCCGAGAAGGAAGTAAGAATTAAAATAGTCTTTATTAATTTTATTTATTTTCAAATGTATTTTCTTAGCGTGCACGTCTTTAAATAGTAATACATGTACCGGATTGCAACCAATTGAAACTGATTTTAATAGTTGTATATCGAAATGCTCAGCAGCAACTGGCGCGGTATGCGGTATGGGAAGAGATGGTACCTTTAAAGTTTTTGAAAACTTATGTCAACTCGACTGTGATGCAGGTAAATTATGCTTATTATGTTTTCTTTTCTTCATGTCAATAAAAAATGTTCAATCTCATTCTCAGATTATTATATCACATCCAAAGAAAATTGTCCAAGGGTATTAGATGAATGCTCTGTTCTTTGTTCAATGGATAAGAGTCCAGTGTGTGGAATGCGTAATAATCAACTGGAAACATTTGATAACGAATGCATTTATGATTGTCACAAAGAGAGTAAGAATACCAAACATCTATTTAGGCTGATATATTAGATGTATATTTTTAGGTTACATTTTCATTTCCAATGGAGCATGTTCGGACTTATATGCCACTTCAACAACTTCAGCGTTATCAACAAATGCATGTATTAAAACTTGCACACATGATTATGAATATATCTGTGCCTTACGTAATGATGGTAGTCGTATGGTATATAAAAATAAATGCATACTCGATTGTAACGCTGACGGTAAGCTGATCTCATATAACTTAATTTAATAGAAACATAAATATAATTAAAAATTCATCTTAGGATATGTTGTGCAACCAAAAGAGATGTGTAGAGATATTTTAATTAATTTACAGTCAGAGTGTCCACAAGAATACGTTCCAGCATGCGGAGATTGCTATGGGTACAGAAAAACCTTCTACCATAGGTGTATTTTGGAAACTCAGATACCAAGTAAGACTGAAATAGTTGCTTGTTATATAAAATATAATATGATAAATCGTTAATTCGTTTTGATTTTCAGCATGCACGTTTATATCGTATGGAACTTGTGACAATATGATACCGACACACGTTAGCGGTCCACAATCGAATGCTACAACCGGAGTGACATATACAACTACAACAACTACGAATAATAATACAACATGGAGTAACTATACTTCATATACCAGCACAAATTATACCGCAATAACTACAAGAACCAGCACTAGAATAGCAAAATATAGATTTGATCAGTGCACAAGTATTTACTCATATCAATATGATCCTATCTGTGCCCTCTGTACTGATCGTCAATATTATAAATTTGATAATGACTACGGATTTAATTGCAGAAGTAGAGGTATATTTTGACTCTCTTGCTAATAATAAAATAGAAAATTATGCAAAATGTAACTTTTAGAATGCGTTGAAGTGGAAGAAGGATACTGTCCAGAAATTCTGAGTTTATGTGAGTCGCAGTGTTCTAACGTATATGAACCAGCATGCGGAAATTGTAGGGGACAATTAGAAACGTTCGATAGCATATGCCATTTAGATTGCCATGAGCATCGTAAGAATGAAATCATAATTTAAAATGGAATATAACATTTAACATTTATATATGTTTAAAGGTGGCTGCGAGATGGTTCCGAATTCGAAAGGTGCATGTACAAGTCTTCACGGTCTTCAAATTGAAAGTTATCCATCAGTTAACGATTGCATTAAAAATTGTTCTCAAAATCCAAAAGATATTATATCAGTTTGTACTTTATGTACAGATGGCCAATATAAGTTTTTCGACGACAGATGCGAATTTGAGTGTCACGCACATGGTAAGATGATAAATAATTTCACTTAAGCTTTTATTATAATAAATGACTACCGTTTCAGAGTGTTTTGAGACATTTGAAGAAAATTGTGAACAAACATTAAAATTATGTGAAAGTCAGTGTCTACCAAATAAAATCCCAGTTTGTGCAATTTGCAACGGTGTTCCCGAAACATATGACAATAGATGCCTAGTAGAAGAATGTAGACAGAATAGTAAGTTAATTGTTCGATGATTATTTTATTAAATAAATTAAAACTTGTTACTTGCAGCATGTAATCCACCAACAGATGGTGTTTGTACAGAATCCGTTATAGCAGCAAGCTTGCCTCCATTTACATGTACTGATATCTGCTCAAATGATTATGAGCCTATCTGCTCAATGTGTTCAAATGGTAGAATTGAGATACAGCAAAGTCAATGTCATTTAACTTGCATGAATTCAGGTAAAACTATTGAATAGGATAAAGGAAATAGGTATTTAATTAAAGGCCAACTATATTTGATAATTTCAGATTGTGTTCCGATACCAAAAGATAATTGTCCTGAATTGTTAAACGGATGTGTGAGGAATTGTACCGAAAGCCATGTGATTCAATATGATCCAATATGCGCATCTTGTAATGGAAAACTTGAACTAATTGAGAACCCTTGTATCCTTAACTGCCGAGAAGGAAGTAAGAATTAAAATAGTCTTTATTAATTTTATTTATTTTCAAATGTATTTTCTTAGCGTGCACGTCTTTAAATAGTAATACATGTACCGGATTGCAACCAATTGAAACTGATTTTAATAGTTGTATATCAAAATGCTCAGCAGCAACTGGCGCGGTATGCGGTATGGGAAGAGATGGTACCTTTAAAGTTTTTGAAAACTTATGTCAACTCGACTGTGATGCAGGTAAATTATGCTTATTATGTTTTCTTTTCTTCATGTCAATAAAAAATGTTCAATCTCATTCTCAGATTATTATATCATATCCAAAGAAAATTGTCCAAAGGTATTAGATGAATGCTCTGTTCTTTGTTCAATGGATAAGAGTCCAGTGTGTGGAATGCGTAATAATCAACTGGAAACATTTGATAACGAATGCATTTATGATTGTCACAAAGAGAGTAAGAATACCAAACATCTATTTAGGCTGATATATTAGATGTATATTTTTAGGTTACATTTTCATTTCCAATGGAGCATGTTCGGACTTATATGCCACTTCAACAACTTCAGCGTTATCAACAAATGCATGTATTAAAACTTGCACACATGATTATGAATATATCTGTGCCTTACGTAATGATGGTAGTCGTATGGTATATAAAAATAAATGCATATTCGATTGTTACGCTGACGGTAAGCTGATCTCATATAACTTAATTTAATAGAAACATAAATATAATGACAAATTCATCTTAGTACATGTTATGCAACCGAAAGAGATGTGTGGAGATCTTTTACCTAATTTGGAATCGGAGTGTCCACAAGAATTTGTACCAGCATGCGGAGATTGCAATGGTGACAGAAAAACCTTCAACCATAGGTGTAATTTGGAATGTCAGATACCACGTAAGACTGAAATAGTTGCTTGTTATATAAAATATAATATGATAAATCTTTAATTCCTTTTGATTTTCAGCATGCACGTTTATATCGTATGGAACTTGTGACAATATGATACCGACACACGTTAGCGGTCCACAATCGAATGCTACAACCGGAGTGACATATACAACTACAACAACTACGAATAATAATACAACATGGAGTAACTATACTTCATATACCAGCACAAATTATACCGCAATAACTACAAGAACCAGCACTAGAATAGCAAAATATAGATTTGATCAGTGCACAAGTATTTACTCATATCAATATGATCCTATCTGTGCCCTCTGTACTGATCGTCAATATTATAAATTTGATAATGACTACGGATTTAATTGCAGAAGTAGAGGTATATTTTGACTCTCTTGCTAATAATAAAATAGAAAATTATGCAAAATGTAACTTTTAGAATGCGTTGAAGTGGAAGAAGGATACTGTCCAGAAATTCTGAGTTTATGTGAGTCGCAGTGTTCTAACGTATATGAACCAGCATGCGGAAATTGTAGGGGACAATTAGAAACGTTCGATAGCATATGCCATTTAGATTGCCATGAGCATCGTAAGAATGAAATCATAATTTAAAATGGAATATAACATTTAACATTTATATATGTTTAAAGGTGGCTGCGAGATGGTTCCGAATTCGAAAGGTGCATGTACAAGTCTTCACGGTCTTCAAATTGAAAGTTATCCATCAGTTAACGATTGCATTAAAAATTGTTCTCAAAATCCAAAAGATATTATATCAGTTTGTACTTTATGTACAGATGGCCAATATAAGTTTTTCGACGACAGATGCGAATTTGAGTGTCACGCACATGGTAAGATGATAAATAATTTCACTTAAGCTTTTATTATAATAAATGACTACCGTTTCAGAGTGTTTTGAGACATTTGAAGAAAATTGTGAACAAACATTAAAATTATGTGAAAGTCAGTGTCTACCAAATAAAATCCCAGTTTGTGCAATTTGCAACGGTGTTCCCGAAACATATGACAATAGATGCCTAGTAGAAGAATGTAGACAGAATAGTAAGTTAATTGTTCGATGATTATTTTATTAAATAAATTAAAACTTGTTACTTGCAGCATGTAATCCACCAACAGATGGTGTTTGTACAGAATCCGTTATAGCAGCAAGCTTGCCTCCATTTACATGTACTGATATCTGCTCAAATGATTATGAGCCTATCTGCTCAATGTGTTCAAATGGTAGAATTGAGATACAGCAAAGTCAATGTCATTTAACTTGCATGAATTCAGGTAAAACTATTGAATAGGATAAAGGAAATAGGTATTTAATTAAAGGCCAACTATATTTGATAATTTCAGATTGTGTTCCGATACCAAAAGATAATTGTCCTGAATTGTTAAACGGATGTGTGAGGAATTGTACCGAAAGCCATGTGATTCAATATGATCCAATATGCGCATCTTGTAATGGAAAACTTGAACTAATTGAGAACCCTTGTATCCTTAACTGCCGAGAAGGAAGTAAGAATTAAAATAGTCTTTATTAATTTTATTTATTTTCAAATGTATTTTCTTAGCGTGCACGTCTTTAAATAGTAATACATGTACCGGATTGCAACCAATTGAAACTGATTTTAATAGTTGTATATCAAAATGCTCAGCAGCAACTGGCGCGGTATGCGGTATGGGAAGAGATGGTACCTTTAAAGTTTTTGAAAACTTATGTCAACTCGACTGTGATGCAGGTAAATTATGCTTATTATGTTTTCTTTTCTTCATGTCAATATAAAATGTTCAATCTCATTCTCAGATTATTATATCACATCCAAAGAAAATTGTCCAAAGGTATTAGATGAATGCTCTGTTCTTTGTTCAATGGATAAGAGTCCAGTGTGTGGAATGCGTAATAATCAACTGGAAACATTTGATAACGAATGCATTTATGATTGTCACAAAGAGAGTAAGAATACCAAACATCTATTTAGGCTGATATATTAGATGTATATTTTTAGGTTACATTTTCATTTCCAATGGAGCATGTTCGGACTTATATGCCACTTCAACAACTTCAGCGTTATCAACAAATGCATGTATTAAAACTTGCACACATGATTATGAATATATCTGTGCCTTACGTAATGATGGTAGTCGTATGGTATATAAAAATAAATGCATATTCGATTGTTACGCTGACGGTAAGCTGATCTCATATAACTTAATTTAATAGAAACATAAATATAATGACAAATTCATCTTAGTACATGTTATGCAACCGAAAGAGATGTGTGGAGATCTTTTACCTAATTTGGAATCGGAGTGTCCACAAGAATTTGTACCAGCATGCGGAGATTGCAATGGTGACAGAAAAACCTTCAACCATAGGTGTAATTTGGAATGTCAGATACCACGTAAGACTGAAATAGTTGCTTGTTATATAAAATATAATATGATAAATCTTTAATTCCTTTTGATTTTCAGCATGCACGTTTATATCGTATGGAACTTGTGACAATATGATACCGACACACGTTAGCGGTCCACAATCGAATGCTACAACCGGAGTGACATATACAACTACAACAACTACGAATAATAATACAACATGGAGTAACTATACTTCATATACCAGCACAAATTATACCGCAATAACTACAAGAACCAGCACTAGAATAGCAAAATATAGATTTGATCAGTGCACAAGTATTTACTCATACCAATATGATCCTATCTGTGCCCTCTGCACTGATCGTCAATATTATAAATTTGATAATGACTACGGATTTAATTGCAGAAGTAGAGGTATATTTTGACTCTCTTGCTAATAATAAAGTTACAAATTATCCAAAATTTACCTTTTAGAATGCGTTGAAGTGGAAGAAGGATACTGTCCAGAATTTCTGAATTTATGTGAGTCGCAGTGCTCTAACGTGTATGAACCAGCATGCGGAAATTGTAGGGGTCAATTAGAAACGTTCGATAGCATATGCCATTTAGATTGCCATGAGCATCGTAAGAATGAAATCATAATTTAAAATGGAATATAACATTTAACATTTATATATGTTTAAAGGTGGCTGCGAGATGGTTCCGAATTCGAAAGGTGCATGTACAAGTCTTCACGGTCTTCAAATTGAAAGTTATCCATCAGTTAACGATTGCATTAAAAATTGTTCTCAAAATCCAAAAGATATTATATCAGTTTGTACTTTATGTACAGATGGTCAATATAAGTTTTTCGACGATAAATGCGAATTTGAGTGTCACGCACATGGTAAGATGATAAATAATTTCACTTAAGCTTTTATTACAATAAATGACTAACGTTTCAGAGTGTTTTGAGACATTTGAAGAAAATTGTGAACAAACATTAAAATTATGTGAAAGTCAGTGTCTACCAAATAAAATCCCAGTTTGTGCAATTTGCAACGGTGTTCCTGAAACATATGACAATAGATGCCTAGTAGAAGAATGTAGACAGAATAGTAAGTTAATTGTTCGATAATTATTTGATTAAATAAATTAAAACTTGTTACTTGCAGCATGTAATCCACCAACAGATGGTGTTTGTACAGAAACCGTTATAGCAGCAAGCTTGCCTCCATTTACATGTACTGATATCTGCTCAAATGATTATGAGCCTATCTGCTCAATGTGTTCAAATGGTAGAATTGAGATACAGCAAAGTCAATGTCATTTAACTTGCATGAATTCAGGTAAAACTATTGAATAGGATAAAGGAAATAGGTATTTAATTAAAGGCCAACTATATTTGATAATTTCAGATTGTGTTCCGATACCAAAAGATAATTGTCCTGAATTGTTAAACGGATGTGTGAGGAATTGTTCCGAAAGCCATGTGATTCAATATGATCCAATATGCGCATCTTGTAATGGAAAACTTGAACTAATTGAGAACTCTTGTATCCTTAACTGCCGAGAAGGAAGTAAGAATTAAAATAGTCTTTATTAATTTTATTTATTTTCAAATGTATTTTCTTAGCGTGCACGTCTTTAAATAGTAATACATGTACCGGATTGCAACCAATTGAAACTGATTTTAATAGTTGTATATCAAAATGCTCAGCAGCAACTGGCGCGGTATGCGGTATGGGAAGAGATGGTACCTTTAAAGTTTTTGAAAACTTATGTCAACTCGACTGTGATGCAGGTAAATTATGCTTATTATGTTTTCTTTTCTTCATGTCAATAAAAAATGTTCAATCTCATTCTCAGATTATTATATCATATCCAAAGAAAATTGTCCAAAGGTATTAGATGAATGCTCTGTTCTTTGTTCAATGGATAAGAGTCCAGTGTGTGGAATGCGTAATAATCAACTGGAAACATTTGATAACGAATGCATTTATGATTGTCACAAAGAGAGTAAGAATACCAAACATCTATTTAGGCTGATATATTAGATGTATATTTTTAGGTTACATTTTCATTTCCAATGGAGCATGTTCGGACTTATATGCCACTTCAACAACTTCAGCGTTATCAACAAATGCATGTATTAAAACTTGCACACATGATTATGAATATATCTGTGCCTTACGTAATGATGGTAGTCGTATGGTATATAAAAATAAATGCATATTCGATTGTTACGCTGACGGTAAGCTGATCTCATATAACTTAATTTAATAGAAACATAAATATAATGACAAATTCATCTTAGTACATGTTATGCAACCGAAAGAGATGTGTGGAGATCTTTTACCTAATTTGGAATCGGAGTGTCCACAAGAATTTGTACCAGCATGTGGAGAGAGGTATGGAGAGAGGAAAACCTTTAACCATAGGTGCAATTTGGAATGTCAGATCCCAAGTAAGACTGAAAAGATAGATTACTTTGTGATATGTTATCGTAAATAAATGATTACTTTTTTTTTAAGAGTATACGTTTTTGTCATATGGAACTTGTGAAGATATCACAACCACAGCTGTAACTTCGACTGATTTATGTAGAATTAAATGCGGATATGGAGCTGCTCCTATTTGCGGTAATTGTAATGGAGTGATGGAAACTTTCGAAAGCAAATGTTTTATGGAATGTGATGCACCAAGTAAAAATTTAATATCTTTGAAAATTTTTTGGTGTCTAATATAGTTTATGTTTTAGCATGTGAGTATGTTTCCGATGGAGAATGTGAGATCCAGCAGATTTCAACACTGGCTCCCGTTGATTGTGATATAGTCTGTAAAGACCACCAATATATCCACGAAGTGTGTACCATGTGTGTGGACAATAAAAGAAGAATTTTCAGAAACGAATGTTACTTTAATTGTAGAGGTCAAGGTAAGAATATTAAGTTGTTATAACTGATACAAAAATCTCATTAAAATTATATAAAGCATTAGGATGTCAACAAGAAGACAAAGAGAACTGTCCTCTTATTTTAAAAAATTGCAAAGCGAACTGCAATATGGTTGCCATTAGTCCTGTTTGCGCAGATTGTGGTTCTGAAAGGATAACACTAGAGAATGAATGTGTTCTTGGTTGTTATGCTCCAAGTACGGCAGAAAATTTATCGTCATTTGTTTATTTTGAATTAAATAAATATGTAATTACAGAATGTGTGAAGATTTCAGATGGTAATTGTACAATCACTACTACAACTGCATCTGAACCGTGTATCGCAAGTTGTGGAACTGACATTGATTATGTATGCTCATACTGTACAGATGGAAGAAGAAGAATTTTCAAAAACAATTGTTACTTTGGGTGCAATGGTGCAGGTAAGAATATTTCGGTTTTACATTAAGAGGTAAAAATGACATACTCGTCTATATACTTAGCTTTAGGTTGTACAAAGGATGAGAAAAAGAACTGTCCTGCTATTGCAAATCTTGAAAGCACGACTGTAATCACTACTACAACTGCATCTGAACCGTGTATCGCAAGTTGTGGAACTGACACTGATTATGTATGCTCATATTGTACAGATGGAAAAAGAAGAATCTTCAAAAACAACTGTTACTTTGGATGTAACGGTGCAGGTAGGAACAGTTATAGTATTACAAGAAGAAGTGTTAATTATATATTCGTTTATGTGTACAGCATTAGGATGTACAAAGGATGAGAAGAAAAATTGTCCTGCTATTGCGGATCTCGAAACTACAACTGTAGCCACTACTACAGTTGCATCTGAACCGTGTATCGCAAGTTGCGGAACTGACACTGATTATATATGCTCATACTGTACAGATGGAAAAAGAAGAATTTTCAAAAACAATTGTTACTTTGGGTGCAACGGTGCAGGTAAGAACAGTTATAGTATTACATGAGGAAAAGTTAATAATATATTCGTCTATGTGTACAGCTTTAGGATGTACAAAGGATGAGAAGAAGAATTGTCCTGCTATTGCGGATCTCGAAACTACAACTGCAGCCACTACTACAGTTGCATCTGAACCGTGTATTGCAAGTTGTGGAACTGAAACTAATTATGTATGCTCATACTGTACAGATGGAAAAAGAAGAATCTTCAAAAACAATTGTTACTTTGGATGTAACGGTGCAGGTAGGAACAGTTATAGTATTACAAGAAAAAGTGTTAATAATATATTCGTCTATGTGTACAGCTTTAGGATGTACAAAGGATGAGAAGAAGAATTGTCCTGCTATTGCGGATCTCGAAACTACAACTGTAGCCACTACTACAGTTGCA